CCTTCGCAAAGCTCTTCAGGGTAACTTACTTTGTCATTAAGTTTGTCAATAGGTTGCAACAGTTGGAGGTTGATAGTGAAAAGCTGGCTGCCATTTTTCTTATGAAGACTGCAGCAACAGTCAAATCCTGAGGAATTAGAATTCTTTTTGGACTCTTCAGGCAGGTGTAGAACAGTGAACCTGTTCATTGACAGGGAGGACCTAATTTGGTCAGGCAGTAGAATCAGTAGGTCTCTTCACTTCAACATGGAGGTTAAACACCCTAGCTGTTGGCTAAATGTCGCCTGATAACCAGGCTAATCATAATTGATTGCCACATCAGGTGCCAGCACTTGAGAGTTGGATCCATCTTGGATGAACTAAGACATTGTAATTACTGAGTGCCCAAAGAAAGAGAAGTAGTAAAGACTGTACAGGGTTCTTGTACATTGTGCAGGAAGTACGATACCAAACAAGTCTTACCTCCCTATGTGGCCAATTTACCCACTTCAGATGTGGAACAGGAGGTTCCCTTCAAACATATTGGAGTTGATTTCACCAGACACCTTTCTATTAGAGAGGGTAGTAGGGAGACGTATTTGCCCATCTTCACTTGTCCCAGTGTCAGAGCAGTACATATTGAAGTGGTGCCAGACATGAGTGTGCTGTCCTTTCTTCAGGCCTTTGTAGAATTCATCAAATTGTATGGTATTTCGACTGCCATCTACAGTGACAATGCAAAGAACTTCTTGGGAGGTGGCCAGCTGTTAATGTTGTGCCACAATTTTCAGCAGAAGTTTTACTTTTGTCAAGAGTTCTGCCCTATTCCACTTTTCTCTCCCTGGGTTGGAGGTGTCTGGGAAAGAGGTATCCAAACTATCGAAACCTGCCTCCACAAGGTGGTTGGACAAAGTGAAGTAGATTATTTCACACTATTAATCATTATATCCGATATTCAAAGGGATGTCAACACACGCCAGCCTCACTTATCGAGAGTGGGGAGAGAGAAAAAATAAACACCTAACATGTTTTTGGGGCTTAAAGAGAATACTGGGTTGCTGTTGAACCTGAATGATGGGGTTTTTGCTCCCTCCAAGCCACACAGCTGGGAGAGACTACTCAGAACCATGCAGGTGCGGAACTGATGCCAGGAGAAATTTAGGGCCTTATGGTACAATGAATAGGTGACATTTCAGAACAGACTGAGGATTGGGGTATGTGGTCCTACTCAAGACCCTTTTGGATTCTTAGGATTTTCATGAAGGTGCTTAGTGGAGAGGAATGGTACTGTCAGGTCAGCTAAAGTCAAACAGGGAGGTGGTGCAGTGCAGGTCCACTCTTTGAAACACCTGTTTCCACTTGAGCTGTCCCTATCCTCTGACAAGACTGAGAAAGGTAAGGTTGTTTGGCTCTGTGGGGTCTGCAATACCCCACAAAATGATTGAGCAATGATTTGCTGTGACAAGTGTGATGACTGGTGTCATTTCAGGTGTGTGGGAATCAAATTTGTCCCACCTCAAGACAAAAGTGGTACAGCCCAGATTATGCTCCTCTGAAGCAGTGCCAGGGTAGGCCTAGTCTCCTCCCTGAGTAAGTTATGGTGCCCCCCCCACAAAATACATAAAATAAAAAAAAAAAATAAAAATATAATTCTTGCTAATATTATTCACTGTCCTTGGTAAGGCACTGTAGATCCCTATATATTTGTTTGTACTCATTTTTTTTCAGTTTTTTAAGAATGTGTGGAGAAATTGAGTATTGTTCAGTCGGGAAAGGAGCAACGTACTTACCTTGTGTTGTTGAAAGGCTTACTAAACAAAAAGTTTGGTATTTTTATTAACCCTTTATAGATACAGTGGTCATGTGACAGGGTCATCATCTTATTCCAAAGTTGCATAAAAAGAAAAGAAATCTATCACTATTATTAAAATTAACTTCCATGTTTTCAGACTATTACATTTTGCAGAAATATACTATATTACACATACACAGAGGGTGCAATGGGCAAATCGTTACCAATTTATTTTTTTAAATTTTGTACATGCATGTTGTTTGATTTTGTAGAGTCAATTGGGCACCATCTCTGAGAAAAAGAGCACCATGACGCAATTCCCTCTGCCAGAAATTTGGAAACATCACTGCTTGGCATTTCCATTGAAAGCTCTAATATGAACATTTCAGAGTGTTTGAGTGTCAATCTGAGGGCAATGCAGAGTATTTAGAAAGAGTTGGACGAGTTTAATGGTGATTCTGAAGGTGTTTGGAGTGATCATTAATGATCATGACGTTATACCTCCATTCATCTTCCTACAAAGCCTGAAACTCGACACAGAGGCCTACATCAAGTGCTTTATATGATGTAATCAAGAGGGTGGTTGTTGGAAGACCCTATGTCTGGTAACAGGACTCTGCACCATGCTACACAAGTAGGAGAACCCAGTCATGGCTGTCAGACAATTTCTGCAATCACATCACTCCTTACATCTAGCCACATAACTCCCCAGATTACAACCCCATTGATTATTATGTGTGGGGCGCAATTGAGCGAGAGATCAACAAAACTCCTTGTAGCACCAAAGATAAACTGAAGGCAAGGATTATGGCAGCATTCACAGACTTAAATAAGGAGACAGTCCAAAAGAATTGCAGGAGTTTCCGAAGTTGCCTAGAGACCGTGGTTGAAGCCAGTGGTAATTTTATTGAATAAATTTACTCTTTAGTATTTCAAGATATTTTTGTGTAATTTTGCTAACTATATCCGTTAAAATGAGAGGTCAGTGTTATTTTCATTTTTGCGGAATTTAGACGACAATTTACCCATCGCACCATATGTGCGTGCGTGCGTGTGTGTGTGTGTGTGTAAAAACCTTTCCTTCATTTCTGATTAAGTCCTGAAAGTTCCATTAAAATCTGACAATTATTTGATTTTTGAAGAATTTCAAAATCAAATGTTTTTCACCGCAAAAAGACGCTGAAATTTCCCATACACATTAAGTCCCGCGTTGACGGCAGAAAAACAACTTTTTTGTTTTTATTGTTTTCTAAATGTTTTTCATCATGTACTCTCTTTTTTTAGATACCTACTCCAAAGCAATACAGCAATTAACAAGTCATTTGGCGTGCATAAAAGAAATTCAATAGTTGCGTCCCTTTAATGGCGCGTATTCTGAGCACATGCCGATAAAGGGAAGCAACTATTGTTCTTATAAGCGTCAGTAACAATTCGTCTTTGCTATTCCTCTTAAAATTTTCGACAATTCATATTTTTTATGCTTAAAAAACATCTATGATTGTAATTGAAAGTTTTTTGGTAATTTACTTTTAATTTCTTGAAAAAAAACAAAAAAAACGAGCGATATAATTTCACATCGGAAAAGAGACTCAATGATTCGTAATTCTATTTTTCCACTATTGATTGACCTTTTCTTTTCTTTTTTAATTTTAAAAGCTTTTCGTTAAGTATTTAAAAAGATACCAAAATAAATAAAAAATCACTTTATCTTAGAAAAAAGTTTAAATTTTGAGTATAATAAAGAAAATCAGTTCAGGTTTGATAAGTTTTTCGTACAATTTAAATTTTAAACTGTGGTCCTTACTGAAATGTACGCTATGCCATATGGAAGCATACGAAGAATTTATAGCCGCACAGTTAGGTAAATTTTAATTCACTTTCGGTATATCGTACTTAACACTCAGCATCGCCAGTCTAACTGTCCCATAAATAAAGTAATTTCTTGTTTGATAAATAAAGATCAGTTAAATAAACAGTGAAGCACTGAAGTTAAACACGTTTTGTTGAAATTGAAAATCGTAAGTTTTAATTAATCCATTTCCATAACTTATCTAGACTAAATGGCAAGCAGCCGATGTGGATTATTTAATGCTTCTGCGGCATTAAGTAAACTACAGAGAATACATTTCAAACAAGTCTGTTACTTCGATTTTTACATAATTTTGCGAGTGTGTTTATTTAAAAGAAAATGGAAACAAGCGAAGTGGTTTTAAACGGGTGTCATCAACCAAAATTGGCTAGAACTAACAGAACTTCAGTAATAAAAATGTAAGCCAATGCAGAAAATTTAACAATTCACTACAAAAACTTGAGAAAGTACATTACCAGAAACCACTGAATGGTGTTTAAAAGCAAGAAAGTCTTTATGGAACAGTTCGATAGTAACGAAGACGTTTGGAATAACAATCCTCACAACGTGGGCACTGGGATCCACAATGTAAGAAAGAAATTTTATTTTAACTAACTGAATTTTGAAACAAGGCTTTCTATTAAAAAGAAAAAAAAAGGGGTATTTATAACAAATATGTTTTTTAAAGATACACAATTTGATTCAATAAAAATCCGGATGTATCAAATTCAAATATGATATGTTTTCGTAACGACAAAAAGCGGTCACGAAATCAGGGTTCAGTTTAGCACTCCGTTAGTATCGTGAATTGAACACCACGATGTCTGACTTAGGACACAAAATCAGGGTCCAGTTTGGCACTATACGAATATTGTAAATTAGACCCCCCTATCAAAGCCACTTTGTTTGCTTTTTTTTTTAACTTTTAATTTCTCAAAGATGGAAAGGTTCCCAAAGTAATAAAAGCTATTTTCTAAAAGAGCAGAACAAATTAAATCAGAAAAAGACATTTATATCGAAAAAATATTCATTTTTTAGCTTAACCATAATTTTATTTTTACCGAACAGTACAATGGATAAAAAAAAAAACTAAATATTTTCTCCTATTTTGCAATTTCAATTCACAACGATAAATTAAACAATTTTTATTAAGAATTTTTTCTAATTTCGTTTTAGCATCCTTCGAAGAGGAAACAAGAATCCGAAACCGCTCGTTTTTGTTTTGTTTTTATGAAAAGTATATCTAAGGAGCTCTGTTTTGAAATAGACGTAAGCTAGGCTTCACCCAAACAACTTTCATCTGCGGTTGGAAGAAAGGCGAATTAACAAAAACACAATTACTGATAATAAAAAAATAATGCAATTATATTCTCATCTTACCTCAGGTTGCTGCGGTAAAGATTATGATTTTTTTTTTTTTTTTTTGATGTTTTTTTAAGCTGTGAAGGTTCTGTGAATTAGAAAATCCGTCGCTCCGTATTTGTTTTCTAGTTGCGGCTTAAAAATGTCTTCCACTTGTCAAGTGTGCGTATATCACGTGACCGCCCGCCACGAGCGGAGCAGCGGCAAGTTCGAATCTGACGAACTGTACGTCCGTGTGTTTTTGTGTCTTTATTTTATACAGCGCTTGATAGCTTTAATGACTAAAAATAAAAAGGTACTTGTTTAATTTACTTCATTACTTTGTCATCAGACAACTAATTTCTGGATTTTTACAATTTTTATTTTTACAAACTTAAGGTCAAATATTTATTAATTTCTATAAATTTCAAACGATGCCACCGCACAAATAACTAAATTTTATTTCTTTTTTGGTACATGACAAAACCTAACATTCCCAGTTATCATATATACTGTGATAAAATTCTTTTTCCACATCAAGAGTAAATCCTGTCATTAATCTGTTACAACATGTACCACACCTGGAAGTTCACAGTAAATAATACCTTCAGCATGTGTGCATCACCCCCCCCCCCCAGACCCCAACTACCCACCTTGTCTGCTAGATGCCATTTAGGGTAATACAAGTAAGGGACATAAATCCAATCCTTTTTTGGCTCTTGGATGTAGTAGCAATAATATAGGCGACACTACTTGGGTAAGCTGATTGCTTTATTTCACACAACCATACACCTCTCTCATGCTAGAGCTGAGTACATCAATTATTTTTCCTTATTTTTTGTGCTATCAGTACATGTAAATATAATTTCATCTTGTTAGCTATATGTATAAGAATCCTTCACATGTTGAATTCATTTCTTGCAAAAGTTTTCAACCTCATCAGCAACAAATCACATCTCCTCCTGCTACAAACTGGTAACTAACAGCAAAACCTTATCCCGTACAATTCTGTAGCATCTTTTTGCTATAAGTAGAATCTTTTGACAATGTCAAACTATTTCAATAATTTTCATGACAGAGTTAGTATGATATGAAATATGGGGGGGGGGAATGAAACTGGAGACTCGTCTTTGTTTATCACCCCTAGTAACAGAACAGTCTATATCTTACGTCTACGTACGGAAAACTTCAACCAATAAAAACCGTACTATGCCGATCAACCAATCTCATTGGTTAATGACACAATAATCTGAAAGTTCACGTGCAAAAAACGAAATTTCGCCAAAACTCCGTGAGCCAAATTTCGGACTTTTGTGGAATCGTGAATTCTACCCTTTTGCGCGCGTGCGCGCGGATTGCACCCCTTCCTCTCACGTTCAGCTACATATAGCAGTAAACGCTGACGTGAGGAAGGTTATTGGCTACTTCTGATACCGTCTAGGATCAGAATTTGAAATTTTCCCGCGCGTTTCCTGACGTCACCGACGAATAGCTTTTTCAAGTCAGTTGCGGCCTGATTTTCAAGCTAGCAGGTCAACTCATTTATTCCGTGACCCTAACCCATACGCGGGCCGGAATATCTTATTCTTAACTAACCAAAACTTCAACATGTCGATATCACACTTTACTTTTCCAAGACTTATCCTCGTCTTGATGCGAACAGCATGTTGAACCTTCCTCCGTTTTCAGCTAGAAAATGTACGACACTGTCGTCAATATATTTTTCCAAGACCAACTCCTCGTCTTGATGCGAACAACTTGTTCGAACTTTTCCTCTTTTACTACCTGAGTTCTACGACACCGTCGTCACCATACGTTTTCAAGACCAATTCCTCGTCTTGATGCGAACAACTTTCGAACTTTCCTCTATTCACTATCAGAGTTCTACGACACTGTCGTCAGCACACTTTTCCAAGACTTGTCCTCGTCTTGATGCGAACCACTCAGAATTTTCCTTCACTGAAGAAGATTGATTAACTGTTCATACGCCTTTGAAACTTCTAATCCTTACGAACCAGTTCCAAAAAAAGATAACTTGACACACACACATTATTAAACCTCGCAGTGAGTACCTTTCCTATTTGTGTACGCATACACCTTTCGTACAACAAGACATTTTTTCCAGAACTTTCTTTCTGATGAAACTTTTCCCGCCTTAGCCATCTTGATTTTCTGTTTTGGCGCGGAACTTTAATATTCTATTGGTCTCTACATATTACTAACTGCCTACAGGCCTAAAAAAAAAAAAAACAGACCTAACCTTTTCTGATAGTCTCCACGGTTGAGGCAAGATTACTTGTTAATAAAATAAAATTTCATATATGTTTTCAACCAGACTCGTTTTGTCGTTTCCTCCTGTCTATCTACATTGTATTATTTTTATGCACTTGGTGAATGACCCCTTTTCCTCATTAAGATCACTCATTTAATATTTTTACTTTGTTTGTGGATTCGGTAGTCATAAGTAGTGTATGGCACAAGGCCACCTTTTAATAAACCAGCACTGCATGCTACCGGGCCCGCAACACTTTCAAAACTTATAAAAGAAAACGCCGACTGATCCTGTCGGACAGTCACTCGGCCTTGACTTTTTGTCGTTATTTTTTTGACCGTTGCTGACAGCGCTTTATCGCGCAACTCTTTGTTGTAATTAACCTTTTGCATTTTAGAACTTCATTTTGGTTAAGTTTATTTTATTTTTACATTTTTGCGACTATATTGAAAAAGTTTTTTGATTTTTCTTTCTTCACTCCATTTTATTTTTACCCCCCCCACCTTTAATTTTTGCACTTTTTCATTTTATTCTAGTTTTCCTATTTGATTTCCATTTTTACCCCCTTTAATTTTTTGCTTTTTTTTTATTCCAGTTTTCCTTTTTTGATTTTCATTTTTACCCCTTTAATTTTAGCAGTTTTTTCTTTGTTTCGTTTTTTAATTCTCTTTTCTACCCCCTTTCATTTTTGCTCTTTTTTCTTTTATTCTAGTTTTCCTTTTTAATTTTCATTTCTTTAATTTCTTTTCTAAATCTATCTTCGTTTTCTTTATTCTGTGTTTCGCTTTATTTTTTAATTAATTTTAATTTATTGATTCTTTCCATCCTTTAATTTTTTACGTGTTTTTTGTTTGTAATCGTTGTATTGTCCAATTTATCTGTTTATTTTCTTTTTTTGTTTATTGGTTCGACTCGTTTTTTTTTTTTTAGGGTCGGCCATTTTGATTTTTGTAACTAGCTTCGGCTATTGTCCACGTTTCGTATTTTCTTTTGTTTATTGGTTCGACTCGTTCGGCCATTTTGATTTTTTTGTAATTAACTTCGGCTATTGTCAACGTTTTGGATTTTTTTTTTTTTGTTTATTGACGTCGGCCATTTTGATTTTGTTTAACTAGCTTCGGCTTTTGTCGAAGTTTCATATATTCTTTGTTTTCCGTTTTCATTGTCTAACGTTTTTGTTATTGTTTATTTTCTTTATCGTGTTTTCTTTTATTGTTTCGCCTTTAGGCGATATTTGTCCTTTATTGTTTTTTTCTAATTTTTATTGTATTTTTTTAAATTTGTTATACGTAAGTGAACCGTGTTTTATTTGTTCTTTCTCGTCATGTAATTTTTTTTTGTGTGCATATTTATTTTTTTTGTTCATTGTTGTCTCGCTTTCGGGTGAGCTTGTTTATTTTTTGACTTAATTTATTTATTTAATTATTATTTTTTTTTTTTTTTACTTTTGCCAATAAGGCGAAACTTGTTCAACTATTTCCCACCCAATTTTTCACCCCTCCCTTCCTCTTTGAAAAAATGGATAAGAAGGAAAAAAGTTCCTTCTTTTTTAATAAGAAAAAGCCGAAAATCGCTTTTTTTCCGTCGAACTGTAAGAAAGCATTTATTTAACCCCCAAAAAGACCCACCGGACAAATATAATGTTGATGAATATCCCACTCTACCCACAGTTCCAACAAATGAAGAAATTGTGGAAGTAATCAAAAAAAGCCTCCAAAAATACGGAGGCCGAAAAGAGTAAGTGTTGACCAAGCAAGTGGCAGCTCCTCTGCTAATGCAGAGGCCGGGGGAATCGCCCTCTTGTTGGAAGTCCCCTCCTAAATGCATTATCGATATTGCGGAGTTCTTGGAGCGTGCCAAGGGTTACGCACACCTTGTGGTGAAAGGTGGGCTCTTGCAGGATCCAACAGAACTGAAGAAAACCGAAAAAAGAATAGTGTCAGTTTTTGTCGTCGACAAGCGATCTCGCAAAATTTGTCGTTCGACTAAAGACAGTGTTCAAATCACTGGAGTCCCTGGGGTTTAAGCCCCTCCGAATTGTTAAGGGCAAGGGATTTTTCATGTGGGATGTACTGTTACCCACCGCCGAAGACTGTATAAGAGCCACAACTAGGGATCTTATTACGAAAGATCTGATCCTTCGTACAGAGTACGAGGGCCCGCGAAGGGCTAGAGTAGCGGTATATGAGGTCACTCCTCTAGTTATCGGAGAACACCTGGCGGCTTTCTTGTCCCAATACGGGGAGATTATGGGTGCTTCTTGTGATAGCCTGACCGGGGGATGGAGCTTTGAAATGATGCTCAATCAAAAAGGCTTCGGCTCTATCCCCAACTGTCTTGACGTTGGTGACCTGAAGCTGCCGGCCATCGTGACTGGCCGTAAACCAGTTTCCTGGAAGTGTGGAGTGACTGGTCACCTCTCCCCTTCTGACCGAGTTTTTCAAAAACCGCTACGCCTGTAATGGGCACGCCGGCTACCAGGACCGAAGCGGTTGTACCCCCGGTTGGGTCTTCATCAAAGCCCCCATTCCCCGAAGAACCTTCTTCCACTGCAAGTGTGGTTGAGGAGAGGGAAAATGGGGAATGGCAGGTTGTTGGCAGGGCCAGAGGGAAGCGTCAGACAGCGTGGCCTCAGTCCCCTGAAGCCCCGGGGACTAAAGACACATACAGCCCCACTCCCTCTGGCAACAGTAAGGGTGCTGCCCCGGCCTCTATTCAGACCATTGAATATCTAAAAAAGAAATATGATCCTGGATATAGTAAAACGGAAAAAATT